ATGCTTCCTATTTGCTACTGACCGCATTTCTTCGGCAGTTTATAGTGATATGAAGACTGCTCCAATTACCCCTTTACCAACTCTAACCACAAACTCTGTGTTGGTGACATGGTTTGTTCTGCTTTTTCTTCATGCGTCTGATTTCCACCCCTCAACACGTCGACAGTAAAAGTCATTTTGAGGTTCACAAACCATTTGACGGTTACAGATACAATCAGAGCTTTGTAGTCCAACGCAAGTGCCATCGCTATCAATGCTAGTATAAAGGAGGGGATACACTCCTAGTCCCCGTGGTCGTTTCCACGAGCCTCCCCCTTTCCCATTCGGTGAGAGTGTGCTTATTCAGCAAACCAGGTTATAACTTACGTCTGCTCTGAACTGACAGGGGCCCTTGAGTAATTGTGTCCAGCTTTTGATGTAACAGTGCAAGATGCCATAATAAATTCAACACCTTTGACACACACCTAGCAGAAGTCGGACCTGAATAACACTACACAGCGCTTGGTGTGGAAATGTTTAACTTTATTTATGCCAATCTAAGAATGTTATTGTCAGAGCACAAGCATGAAGGTGACACACCGCAGGATTTGAATGAAAGTGATGAGGAGGACGGCGCAGGTAGCAGCAAATGTTTGTAATCTAATCACGTCTGGATTGGAGACATCAAAGAGGCTCACGAAAGAGAAGGACTGGTCATCCACTCCAACATCTGTGTAGTTCTCCCCCAACAAAAATGTTATTGGACAGTCCTTACCCAGTCGCGGTGGGCAGGCCTCGACCTAAGTAGGAGAAAGATGAAGTTAAAATGACTCGGTACTGTCGGCAGTCTTGGAGACTAATGTCAGACTGATCCTATGCTAACACAAAAATGTGACACTCGTCTCTCCTTCTTTTTTGTACAGTTAAGGTTTACAAATTAGAAAAAATAAACACTACAAATAACTGCTCCACTAAGCCATCATGCACATGACTGTCTCTGCATAGAGTGCCCTCAGTCCGTGCCTTTGGTCACCCCGTTTATGACTTGAAACTTCTATCGTTTAGCCGTCTACAGAGGTCTTATCAACCTCGGCAACTTAAATCAACGCCTGAATGCTTCAAATGTGTTGCCTAAACTTCAGATCTTTCACCTATCCTGTATGCCTCACCCAGGATTGCTCGAGGTAACTTCCTTATAAGGTTATTTGAAGGTCTGCGTCCCAATTTGTAAATTTACTTTTGGTCCCGATTACACAGACACTTAAGGATGCCCTTTGTGACTTCAAATGAGGCTATAACATTGAATACTTCCTCTTAAACTTCATCACAAGCTCTCAACGCGAAAGTTAACACTAACACCAACAACTGGAGCCGATTTGGCCGACTGATGGAAATGGGAGTTCGAGAATTGGATACTCTCAGTGTCTTCAAAAGTTCTGACCACAGCCCTTAAAAGCCTCGCTGATTGCAGAGTAAAAGCTGATATTTTTACAAGATTTCTCCCGTTCGGAGAACTCAACCCTCTTAATAAATAGTGCTAGAGCACATTGTTTAACCGATTTCCACTGTTCCTAACAGCTGTGTGATGTTAATTTTGTCCGTTAAAAGCAATTGGGAGTGCTGCGTGAACCCCCAAAATGTCCCTCCTTGCCTCTTCCTCGAAGTATGTTAAGAATGGCTCTTAATGCGGCTGATAAAGAACATTATTGTTAGCCGAAACTTCCACTCCCTCACTCTACCTTAAAAAATGATCACATGTGACCAAAGACAAACCTGTCTTATGGTTTCAGTCGGGCTGTTTTCCTCCTGCGAAATTATGATCCTTTTTCTTGACCGAGTGCGAAATCGCCCACAAGTGGGTTTGCACGACGTCCACACACTCCACTCTTCCACCTACAGCACACCGAGTCAAGCAGATTTAGCAGTGTTTCCCCATCCCTTCCTGCCTTCTGCCAGAAAGATGTAGCCAGCAGTGTTTGACAAACTGGAAAACGACAACGCCCGTTTGCTCTTTAAGAATAAGCGGACGTTTAGTGAATGCCAATTTAGGGTAGAACAATAGCATAAAAAAGACAAAATTCTTGGCTTGCCGAAAGGTGTTTAGCTCTACATTGCAGTCATTTCCCTCACAACACTCAACAAACCCTTTCTTCCACATTAACCACCTAGTTTATTGCATCTTATCATAGATTTGGAAGCGATGAGGCGCTCAGTAGTGTTTTATCTTGCAAAGGCAAAGGAGAAGAGCCACAAATGGAAAGCCTCCAAAACCTATTTTTTGTTTCACTTTCCTGCAAATTCTGCGAACACGTTACAGAGGTTGAAATGCTTGGTTTCTTTGCTTTTATGATGTTTACTGGACGTCTGCAACCTAGAAAAAAAGGCACTTTTGAAGTTCCAAAAGATTATAGTTTTGAAGCCAACTGCCTGGACTCCTGGAAATCGTGCTCTCGTCCCCATTCTCCCTGATTTTCTGATTGTTTCGCTGTTTTCGTCGGCAATGGACTAACGTAAGAAAGACTCAGTGGCCAATCTCCCGGAGTCTAGCCTAAATATCTACGTTCTATCGCAGCGCCTACCACCATCCTTTGTCAGCAGTGGCAGTTTGTGCGCTGGAAATCCCACGTCTCGATCAGAAAGAAAAGTCTGTCTCTTTATCAAGTGGCAACACGGTCGTTAGCATTTTATAAACTCATTTTAATGCAAACACTGATGCGGCTGTTCAAGTCATGAAGCAGTCGAAAACAAAGTGGCATCAAAGTAGATGAAAGTCCTTTCTTCAAAAAAAGGCAAGAAATGGCAGAGAAATTTTTTATCACCGGTGGCATCAATAACTCCTTAAAATGGACTCCACACTGAGGAGCAACTATTCCTTTGTGATCACAATACTTTGCCAAGACCTATTAAAAAGCCCCTCAACAAACGACTTGTTTGATTTTCAACGTCCACATCATTGAATACCAACCATGCTGTTTTAAGCATTTAACCTCTACCAAAGAGTAGATGTCCTCCATGTGCTTTTAAATTTGCAAACCTTACTTTTTTTGAACAATATCTGAGTTGAGAGTAAAATCTATTCGTGAGGCTCATCTTCGTGTTATTGTGACGTGCATGATGTGGAAATCGGCTTAATGGTGTTATAAGGCGCGTGGAAAACCGTCTGATTTCCATGGATGCAGAATAAAAGTAGTGCTTGTAAAAGACACTGCGCGGTCGCCTCAATAGGATAGATGCTGTTCCTAGGCTTATGGATACTGAACACTCAACAAATGCATCAACATCGTTGGAGTTGATAAACTGCATCAATTGAGCATGTCTTGGAATGGGTAAGACACCGTTCTAAGTTCTCAGACTAAGGCATGGTCAATTGCCAAATTGGGTGAGATCACTCACCTTTTGATTGCACTGTGGTCCCATGTATCCAGCGTAGCACATGCAGACCGCCATGCCCCGCTGATTGGCAGTGGTCACGCAGACGCCATGAACACAGAGTTTGGAGTCGCAGGAGCCCACCTGAAGGAGACAGTTGGACGCGGCCAGACTGATGTCCTCCACGAAGGGCCTTTCGCACTGACAAAAGTACGACTCCGTCCCTGGCTTGCCCACACAACGCGAATGCAGAGGCAGTGTGATAGCCTCCACATCGCTTGACTCCTTCGACTGTGTGATGACATTCTCCTCCCTGTATTCCGGTTCTGTAGGCATTCCGTCCATGTTTACTTGGCACATGGTTTGACCGTTCACTTGGCTACATAAAGATGCGAAAGTCTGAGTTCCGGAGTTCCTTTTACCAAATCATTTCAGCATAACGCAAAACTACGCAACATTTTGGCATACGAAGATTTGAAGTATGGACTTGCTGATTCGCGACCAATTACAATTACTTTCGATCCCTTTGATCTTGAAACTCTTTTCCATCTGTTTCCATTTTGCAAATCGTTATAACTATAAACTTTTTTGATACTTAAGATTTTCCTTCAAGTTTCCGAAACGCATTTGCCAAATGGTATGTTTTTTGAGGTGCTTTGATGTTATTAATGCATTACCAATACCAGCATCGAAGAGGGCCGTTCGGGATGTGCAAATCAAGTGATGCGATCATCACCTCATTCCTTAATTTCGGTGTGCTGAACAACTCTGCCACAATTTCTATGCTCTTTATAGATCCCAACCACCTGCTTTGTACGCCTGCAAATTATAATTCAAAAAAGTTTAAACTATTAAACGCTTTGCATACGACGACAGAAGGTCGCAATGTTACGAGGTTGCAGTTCAGACTGGGTGACATGCACAATAGCTGGAAGAGCTGACAAAATTTATTAACAACGCAAATAAACTATACGTAGACAAACTTACCGAAGTCTCATGAATGTACGGAGAAGGTGACTATGCATGAAGAACGCTAAATACATCGTACTTTGTGCATTTTGCTTTCAGGCTTGAAGTGATTAAAACATGCTCGAAGGTGGGACTGCAGGAGCATCAGCAGACGCGAGGAGATAGCCGAACTCTATCCCAAGCACTTTACGATTGCATGTGCACACTTACAGCAGTTATCAACCACCTCCCTTCATAGTCACAAAAGCAGAGGCACAGAATGGAAAGTTGAACTCGTCCCCACCACCAAGTGTGAAGCTTAACTTTTCAGACTGGGAGTTGGGGTCAAAGAGTTCTCGTAACTCGTAGAAATGACAACCAAGGGTAAGAACACATTAAATGTTTGGTTGAGTTTCTGATTTGATAATGCACGACTGCTTGGTGGCCCGGACTCCGACCTTT